CAACTTAGGATGTGCTACAGTTACAAGGAATCCAACTCCACTATGAAATCCTTTTGAATAGTTATTAGTTCTGTTATTCTCATTAAAGTGACACTAGAACTGTATTGTAGTTTCTTGGTAAGAATGTTTATTAGTTCCCAAAATTTTATTTTGGAAACGACTTGCATATTTAACACATGCTTCAATATCCCTTTCAGATGCTTTGTCACAATCGGGTAGCAAAACTATTTTGTTGATCAGTTGTCTTATGTTTTGAGTAACATCTAAATCAAGCTCATTGTTAATAATATCTCTGCGACATCTTGCAAGATACAACTCTTCATGATTTATAAAACAAGTTTGAGAACCTTCAATTTTAATAGTGTTGTTATCTTTTATTATAACAAGAATTTTACAACCATCTCTACTGCATTTGTATACAACACAACCATCTTTTGCTTTTCTGTTAAAAGCATAACATTCACTATCAACTGATAAAAATGGATGCTCAATTTGGTTTTTCTTGGTTTAATTCTGTTTTCAAAATAACGCAACGTATAAATTTGCATGTAAATATTTAGTTTTTTAATTTTAAAAATTATTCTAAAAAGTTATTAAATTTAATAATGAAGTAAAAAAATCGTTGTTCTATTTTTTAAAAAAACACTTTTGGGAAGAAGTTTTTTTCAAAAGTGTTTCAAATTATTTTCACTCAAGGTTAGTACCAATGTCTATTTGTAACAATGTCTAGGAATCATATATTTTTAGTGAAGAACCTTGACATATTTTTGTTATAAATTATGTATTTGTTATTTGTAAATTTAAATCTAATAGATATGTCTGATTACAATTTATTGTTATATTATTTTAAATTTACGATGACATTTGCTTCTGGTGAAATAATGGTGTTTTAGATACCAGTTTGGACATTTGGGGTTCGATATTCGACAGTGTTTGATCAGATTGAAAAGAATTCGTAGGCAAGTTGTCATCACCTTTTAATAAACAAGTTGGATTGTGTATTTATCAAGTGGTTTACTTTCACTTAAATTGTCTGATGTATCAATTTCTGTTAATTCTTCAGTTTCCATTGGTAATGACACATTTTCTCCAACAAAATTTGTGGTATCAGGCATTGTCAAAGATGTATCTGTAAAAACTTGTTGTGTCAAATTGATTCTGTAAATACAGGTGACGTGTTGTCCATGACACTTTGCTGTATAAATATCATTCTTTAGTTGTTGAGCTCTTTTAAAATGTTTTGGTGGCACCACTTTGACCTTGTTAATTTGTTTTTGAGTCTTTTGGTACAACAATTAAATTTTCGTATCCATCAAAAGTTTTAATTGTTGGTATTTTTTCAAGCATTCTCCTGGATTCTTTCAGATCCATGTATGCATAATACTAAACATCCTCTCCTAAACTCGATACAATTACCGCTCTCTCAAAAGAATTGATAATTGTAACTGAACCAAGTGCTTTGTTGACTGACTTGAAAATGGTTATCAACTTGTTTGAAATTGTTAATCCCCAAAATGCTCTTTCCTTTTTAATCAACAAATAACCATAACTTGGTCAAGACAAACTGTTTTTTTAATAATCTTGGTCATGTCGTCCTCTTCTTCTTTTTCAATTGACTCAAATACACGTTCTTCATGTTCCAACAACCTTACTATCGAATCCAGACTTTCTACTAAATTTTTTGTTATTTTGGTGTGTATGTTGTTTTTTAGATTGGTCAACCTGTGTTATGTAAACAGTGAGGTTTCTTTTGTGTTGCACCCATTACAAACAACACCAAAAAGAAGGTCCTCATACTATTTGGTTTTGCTTGGACAAGTTACAATGGCACCTACTATTGAAGTGAGAAAGGTTTTGAGTTGGTTTGCTATTCCACTGGGAAAGATACCAAATTCCTCTTTATGCTTGAACTCTTCTACCATTTCAAACAATTCATTGGGCAGCAACTGTGGAAATGATTCTTTTAAAAGTTGGATTTTGTCAAATGCACCTTCATTTCCATTTTGGATATTTGTAATCGCGGTGTCTTTTTTCAAGAAGTTAACACTCTTTGTTGTTTTGAATACACGTTTAACGATTCCATTTCTCTTTTGATGGATCCAAATGCAACTAAGTCAAGTGGTTGGCACGGGTGACTGGTGTGTGGAACCAGATAATGAACCACGATGTTGTTTTGCAACAAGATTTGTTTAATACCATCATCAACGTGGCATCTATTATTATCCGTAATCAGTATTGCATATTTACTTTTGTGGTATCCATGTTTTATTTTGATCTTCTTGACTCCTGGAATCAATACCTTTTGTATCCACAACATAAATATTTCACTGGTTAAATAACCAGAAACGTTGCAATACAACTTAATGTTTCTAAAGTATTTGTTCAAAACTGTACTGTAATGAACTTTATCAATAACACAAGATTCGTTGATTCTTTCACCTGCAAGACTTGTACATTCAATCAGAGTGGTTGTTTTTGATTTTGGTTTATTTGCAACACGAATTTTTGTATTGACTCCTTTGGGTACCATAGCTCATGTGTTTTTTCGACTTGATTCTTCAGATGTTCCCATCTCGTCAACATTAAACAACATTTTGTCTTTGTTCTTGTAATTATTTAACTTTTCTGACAACTGTTTATAATTATCAAGTATTGGTTGTGGTGCAAAGTTGATTTTCTCAAATTTATCGAACTTAATTTCTGATGTTTCTAAATCGAACTCTCTTTTTAGAGTATTTTTCTCATTGTATCACTTTGTGGTTTTGTTCTTTCTAAATACTCAACAATGCCACAAAACATTTGAAAAGTCAAAGCAATTCTTAGATCATTATATTCGACAATAACGTTTTTGATAACTGTTTTTGTGGTTTCGGAAAGCAGTGACGGCCTACCCGGATTTCTTTGACCAAACTGTTACTTTCTTGACTTGATTTTTTATTGGATATTAATACTCTTGAACCTCCGAATAATGTACACACAACAACTTGACTAAAATGGTTTGAAGTCATTTTGTTTATAAATATGACTTGCTCTCTATATAAAGTTTAAATGAAAACATTTTTTTAATGTGGGTTGTTCATGATAAAACAAAACAACTTTAATGCTTGTGTTGAATCACTTCTTGAAATATTGTGATGGGAGTTTGGCTTGTCATACAACATCCCAGATTTGAATAGAAATTTTCCAATTCACAGTTTCAATTCCTGTTTGTTTATAGAAAAAAATGGCTGAATAGAATTTTTTTGATGTTTTCGAAATTGCTCATTTCTATTGCGTTAAATGGATTCAAGTAAATTTCAATGTTCAAAATATCACTTTCATTAATTTCAACAAATTCGTTGCTGTTATTTTTCGATTATTTTTATTTTTTAAGAACAGTTTATTTTTAAAAAAGTAAAAATATTATGTTATAAATTTTGTTATTTATAGTTCTTGCATTTGGTTATTTCTTGTGAATTAAGTAAACTGTTTTTCAAAAGTCGGTACTGTCATATTTTTAGAACTTCCTAAAGTCCCGTTTTTTATTTTTGTTTTTTCCTAAAAAAACAAAAAACAAAAAATCGAAAGTACCGACTTTATTTTGAAAAAAATACCAATCCCGTTCAATTATTTTCGTACATATTCGGGAAAATATCGGAATATTAGCCATCTTTTTCCAAAAAACCCGATCCCGTTATTTGATTTGACCATAAATCGATACTTCGCAACATATACACAGCATTGTTGACCTAAAAGCACAACAATTAACGTTTAAGTGAATTGGGATGGTGTTGTTTGTGTCGAGTTTTAACTGATAATTACTTTCGTTAAAAAAATATTTTCAATTAAAAACAAACATGTGGTTATCTTCTCTGAATAAAAAATAATGAAATAAAGAGTTCCAAAAACACCAAAAATTACAGCAAATGTTTGATAATTTTGACAGGCATAAGTCAAAATTGTCAAAGGGCAACACTAGAAAAATAATACAAAATAACAATATTGTTTTGTTATTGGATATTTTAAAAAAGATGTTCTCACTGAAATGCTCAAAAAGAATGTCGACTTTATAAAACCCAACAAAGATAAGTTATCAAATCATTTTGTTATTTTTATTGTTTTTGTGACAACACTACTAAGCATACTAATCTTCGAACTAAGCTTTTGTTTTGTGAATATTTCATTAATTATTAAAATGTTTGATAATGAAAAAATTTGACATTAAGTTTATTTGCTTTTGTACTAAAATGCACTTTTGGGATAATTCACATGTTTTTATGAAACAAAAATCCCGTTATTTCAAATTTTATATGGAATTTTTTAATGCTTAAAAATTCTTCAAGTAAAAAAATATTTTTTGAAGACTGTTTTTCTCTTTTTTACTTGGAAAAAATAAGTGAATTTATTACAAAAAAAACGATTCCCAAAAATAATAAACAAAATCAATGCAAAAAATCGGGACACCTCAGTACCGACTTTTGAAAAACAGTTTATTTTATGTTGAATGAAATTAGTTTTTTATGCTAATTTGCTGTGCGAAGGTTTAATTGCCCAACTGTATATTTTCATTAAATTGTCTTTATTTACAAAATTAAAAATCACAAAACACTATATAATGACGGTAGTGTATATAAATAATTTCATACAAAACGATTCACGTTGAAATTAATATATATTTTTCTAATATATTAAATTAAATATGTGTTCACAAATTATTTTTGAAATAATTTTTAAAAAAACAAAAAATGTTGTTACATATATCAAATAAGGGGGATACATTTAAATAAAAATTATAAAATTATTTATTCATTTTGATATGTTCTTATTTGACCATTTAAAACTTAACAAATGAAAAATCGTATCAACTTAAATTATGTTGTATTTGTATAGTTTATATCAGATATCTGACAAATTATAATATAAGTTAAATTATTGAATATTCACTACAATATCATATTGTTATTTTTATATCATATTATTTTAAAACAAAAGAAATTGATTAAAATTCTTTGTTTAGAATTTTAGAATAAGAAAGCCATAACGACTAAAGCCATTATCGCGAAAACGGCATTAGCTCCATTGCATTTTCCTCCCTCCAACTTGTATTCAGCCATACATGCAGTGCATTCATCCACATTTTCACAAGTTGCGCACCCTTCAACGGTACATTTAATGCATTTATTATTTGTTTTATCTATCATATATCCTTCTGGACACTTATCAACACATTTCGAAGTGTCAGCCATGAGGTTGAATTTGGTCTTGCATTGAGTGCACTTGTCATCTTTGTCACAAACATCGCAATTTTCAGTGGCGCATTTATCACACTTTTTGATTGGAGTCTCAACTGGTTTACCAATGGTACATTTATCAATACATGATATTTTGTCGGTAGAAATGTATTTGGTTTTACATTTAGTGCATTGCTCAGCATTTCCAACCATGTCACAAGTTTCACACCCATTAATAGTGCATTCTTCACACATCATTTTAATTTTATTAGTTTTACCAATTTTGCAAGTTTTATCACATGTTCCATCAAGATTGATGTAATCAGTTGATGTAGTGCATTTGGTACATTTTGCTGTTGTATTTTCAGCAACTTCCATACAAGCAGAACACCCATTTCCACATACATTTTCAGTGGTATCACAAGTTCCATCTGTTTTAATTTTTCCAGTTGCACAATCAACACATTTGTTTCCATTCATGTATTTATAGATAGTAGTAGAATCACATGTTTTACATTTACCATTGACATCCTTGGGGTCTTCAACACATGTGGCACATTTATAATCTGGGTAACAAGGAGTACAAACACCTTTAGAAGAAAGGTAACCAACAAAACCGGGGTCACATTTAGAACAAATATCAGCACCAGTACATTTTGCACAATTTGCTGCACATTTTGTACACGTTTGACCACTTTTATAATACCCATCAACACAGCCAGTACAAGTGTTAGCATCGCTGCAAATTGAACAGCCATTTGTACATTTATTGCATTTACCTCCTTCCAAATAATATCCATCAACACAGCCAGTACAAGTGTTAGCATCGCTGCATTTTGAACAGCCAGTTTTACATTTTTTGCATTTACCTCCTTCAAGATAATATCCAGCTGTACATGAAACACAAGTTGTTTTATCTTCTTTGCACTTCGAACATCCCATTACAGAAGCACCACAAGTCACTTCTTTTTTGCATTCTTTATTTTCAAGATAATAATCGGTTTTACATACAGAACACGTCTTAGCATCAGTACACTTCGAACAACCATTTGTACATGCTGTGCATTTGTTATTATTTAGATAATATCCAGTTGTACATCCAGAACAAGTGTTAGCATTACTACAAGTTGCACAACCTTCAATTGTACATTTCGTGCATTTATTATTATTATCATCCAAATAATAACCACTTAAGCATGCGGTACATTTAGTAGCATCACTACATTTTGAACAACCAGTTGTACATTTTGTGCATTTGTTATTATTTAGATAATATCCATCATTACAACTAGTACAAGTGGCGGCACCACTGCAAGTTGAACAGCCATCCGAACACCCTTTACATACATTTTTTTCAATATAATACCCATCATTGCATGCGGTACAGACAGTGGCAGAAGTACAAACTGAACAACCTTTTGAACATTTTGTGCAAGATCCACTTTTTTCGAGAAGATAACCATCTGTGCAAGCTGTGCATTTAGTCGTGTCAGTACAGATATAACAGTTATCTAAACACTTTGAACATTTCTCATCTTTAATATAATATCCTACATTACATCTTTCACATTTTGATGGATTATCTGTCGTACATGAAAAACAATTATCAAAGGGTGGTTTACATTCATCTGAAAAGGCAGTAAATACTGTAAATGATAAGAAGATTAAAGTTCTCATTGAATGATAATCAAGTTGATAAAAGCGTTTATATACCCAAAATAATTTATTTTTATTTAAATGTTTTAAAACAAATTGTCTTTTCGATTGTTCGACACGTATGGTTTGCCGACCTCTCGTTTCAATTTATTATTAACATTATATCACAATGATAAAACAATATTAAAAATATTGTAAACATCAACAGGCGTAAGTTTTATTGTTTTGCAAACTGAAATTAAAATTACAAAATTACATTTTATAATATTATTATTATGTTGTCAAAATGATAAAGAGTAATATTAAATAAAAAAGATGTTATAATATTGACATTCAGTAATAACCACATTTTTAACAACATTAATTAATTATAAAACGGTACAAAATATGTTATAAACCTGTTTTGTTTATTGAGTCTCATTCAACTCTTCCATCATTTTAAATTAATTAACGTAATATACATACAAATGTTTAAATTGACAACATATTCGTTGTCTCAAACTTAGTTTGTTTTTACTATTTATAAACTCGCTTTTTTCTACATTTTTTGGAAAAATAAAAACTTAATTTTTTTCTGAAAAATTTTGTATTTAGATTATTCTTAGAACTTGTTATACCATTTTTAATTTATTATAAAATTATAGTACATATTTAACAAAAAACAATAGGTGGGAAAAAGCACGCCTAAAGAGAAAGTCACACATGTTTTTAATTTTAATTATTTGATTTTTTACTTTATTGGATTAAAAAACAAAAAGTAAGTTTTTATCTTCTTTTATTCGTTTTGAATCGAACGACAATAAATTTTTATACATTTTTAATTCATTTTCAATCATCATTTCTTAATTTGTGGTTTTCAGCTTATTTCCCTTTTAATTTGATTCTTTTTATCTGTTGTTTCAGATTATTATGTTTTGTTTGTTATTTATACTATGTTATATTATTATTATATTATAAATCATTAATAAAATGTTTTAGTAAAAATTAATTTGTTGATTGTTGAAAAAATCTAAAAATAAACAAAAACAAATTCGATAATATAGTTTTTAAAGTCTCAATAACCCAAACATATTGTCTTTTTGACAATATGTTAAATTTTAGAATAAATACAGTCATGTGTATCATCACAAATCAACAACAATTCAAAATAATTCCGATACAATATAATAAAAAGACGTATCATCGATACTTTCAATGTCATAATTTTTATTTTAAGTGTTAATAAGTTTAATTAATATAAATTATTTTTTAAATAATTTGTTTAAAACTGGTTTGTGGATCTAAGACAGTACGACATCTATAAAAAGACTGACAAAAAATAAGAGATTATATTACATATAGAAGAAAAACCAGTGATCAAACGAAATTTAGCCGTTTTATTTTTGATATAAAGTTTCCTTGTAATGGAAAAACCCCAAATCCGAGTTTTTGGAAGATATGTTGGTTTATTTTGAAAAACCAGGGACCAACTATTAATAAACACACTGTTTTTTTTAAATAAAATTGTAAAAACTATAAAATATGAAATTCTTAATTAATCATTCAGTATTGTCTAATATGTTAATGCCCAGCCAAGCCAAAGTAAAGTTTGTTCTTTATATTGATTTATCTTCCGTTGTTGAATACGTTTAATAATCATCGATCATTTACTTTATACCTAACATTCCTATGATTTTATTATTTTTATTTTTTTTCATTAACGAATGAGTAACTTTAATGCTAAACGAAGAGTGATTCATTGAATCAACCGAATGAATTAAAAAGACTACAACATCTTCTTTGAAAAAATGAATAAACGATTTGATTGAATGGTTGTGTTGAAGTTGAACAAGGTTGAACAAAAGAATAATATTTTAAAATTAAATAACAATTAATAATAATAAACTTAAGATTATAACTCACATTAAGCTGTTGTTCATTCATACTTTATACAACACACAGGACAAAAATGGGCGTTTGCTCAAAACTTATAAATTGCAACGTCAGGGGATGCTTTGGTCTAAATTTAAATGTTAATTAAATGTTAAAAACTATTCAAGGGTTTCGAGGTTCATATATTATTTAATGTTAGATGTTTAAACAGTAAAAAAAATGGGTTATAAATATAAATAATTTTCAACTAAAATATAATATATTATTTAAAACAAAAAATAAGATAAAAATAAGTTGATTTTTGGGAATCATTATTAATAAATTAGTTGTTTTAATCTATTATTAATTGTTTTATTATAAAAAATAATGGTATGTATATACAAAATAAAGTTAATAAAACAATGTATATTTATAAAAAAAACCAAAAATACTTAAAATAATCAACCTTTTATTCATAATAAATAATTAATTATATTAAATGAAACCTAAAAGTAAATCTATTAAAATGACAAACAAACTATTTATATTAATAGTATTACTATAATTGTCTTTAATAATAATAATAATAATAATAATAATAATTATAATAATATATTCTTTAATAAAGCAAGAATAATGTTTATACTTGCTTTATTAAAGATAACTTTAGAAACATTCAAATATTATTTTTTATTATAATCATAATATTATGTAAAAATAAACTTAATAAAAGACAATTGTTTTAAACCCAATAAATTAAAATGTATATTTTAAATTATTATATTCAATATGAAATAATTAATATATATTATTTTC